TCCGCCAATCCAGAAGTCTAGAGCTTATCCGTCGTCTCTTTCTCTCGTCGCATTCTGTCAAACAATAATGTCTGTCTGCCCACCATATGCGCCATTTTTTGGCTTTGCAGGCGTAGCTTCTGCTGTGAGCGTTTCGCCAGTTAACGCTTAGAGTACCACTAACTAAACATTGCAGATGGTGCTTAGCAGTATGTTCATATCACTGCTCTGGCTGGGTGGCTAGTCTCACTAAAAGAATTCAGCGATTGGTGCCGCGTTTGGCACTGCTAAAGCAGGAATCGGTATTGCAGGGCTTGGAACGTTCAAGCCAGAGTTAATCATGAAGGTGCGTCTCTTCGACCCTCGTCGTATCCACCCCAGTCTGACTGAAGATATATAGTCACTTATACCTGTCGTCATGTCTGGTATCATTGCCGTGTATGGACTCGTCGTATCGGTGCTAATATCCGGCGCATGTTCGTATAATACAACTTCCCTTCCTTGGCCTGAGCTGTTTCTAAATCGATTATGCAACAGTAACACCGGAGGGCTATCCTCTGTTTGCTGGTTTCATCCATCTCGGAGCTGGCCTCGCTTGTGGGCTTACTGGGCTTACTGCTGGTTATGCCATCGGTATTGTGGGTGACGCGGTAGGTTTCTGTAAATATCGCACTATGAGTCTTCTTACCTTGACCTCAGTGTGTGCGAGCCTACGTGCAAGAATCGAAGGTGTTTGTGTCAATGGTGCTCATTCTCATTTTCGCCGAAGTCCTAGGGTTGTATGGGTGCGTTTACTTGTATGGCGTTCTTGTTGCATGATACTTACAATCATACGTCTAGACTGATTGTTGCACTGATCATGAATTCAAAGGTGGCTGGAGGCGTAGGGGAAGTATGCTACAGTTAGGTCGCTCTCAAATCGTTTGTAATGGCACTATTATATCTCGGACGTTCCCATATCTTCATTCCATCTCAAAATGAAGATGCTCCACGAAAACAGTAATCATCTGGAATCTGCAGAGGATGGCCGGCGTCTGGAACCGCTCTTACTCCTACTTCTACTTCTTCTACGACGCTTGTGATTACGAGAACGGCTGGAACCAGAGCTCTCAGAAACCGAACTACCAGACGAGTCCGAATCAGAATCAGAATCGCTCGATGAGGAATCAGTGTCAGAGTCGCTGGATGAAGAATCGGAATCGGTACTGTTAAACCTATCGGTATTTGGAGAGAAAATTAGAAGAAACGAGACGCACTGTCGATCCCTTTTCTTTCCACTTCCTTTTGTCTGACTTGCACCAGCTCGTTCCTTCTCCTTGGCCTCTAACAAGCGGTTTGCCGTCCCAACTCTGTTTATAATTGATATAAGTGTTGAATAGAAATAAAGAATGTTGACAATGCTTGTAACGTACGATTTCTTGAAATCTTCAGGGACTTCGACCGACGGCTTTCCGCTAGCCTTGAGCTTAGCCAGCGCGCGCGGGTTTTCCAATTGTTGCGTTCTCGATGGCCGAGAAATATATGGACGAGAGTTCTTACATTCGTAAGTATAATGACCTGTTTTCAGAAGAGGTTCAGCTTAGATTAGACCTGGAAATGAATTTCAACAGTACCTTTTCCTAGGCATTTCTGACACACAGTGCTTGGGCCAGCTCGGGGAGCATTTCCAGGGCGTCGATGCGGAGCAAATTTAGACATGATGATGGTTGAAGTGAAAGGTTGAGCCGTGTTTAGCCCGGAGGACCGGAAGCCGCGTTCCATCCTCGTCCCGATGATCTTCAACGTTGACTTGTACCAAGTGTTTTTCTATAACGTGTATCAACGCCCTTGACAATTCCGTTGTAAACTTCTGCTATATCACCCTTCATCATGTCCATATCGTCCGGACCCTCGTCTATACAAACGGAATCAGTATCCGCAGTGAACTCGCTATGGAAACTCGCTGAAAAAAACGGACATCCAGAGGAGATTGAGGAAGAAGAGGAGGAGGAGGAAATTGACCAGTTGGCTTCGGAGGAAGACCTGGAAGAAGATGATGCCACTCAGGAAGTCTCTGGCAGTGGCCAAAGACATTACCACCGTGCTCCGGGAACGACTTTGATGCCTGCGGTGAAAATAGAAAACATCTTGCAAGCAGATGGTAGGTCTATGCCGATATCCTCTCCAAATGCCTTCGAATTCAATCAACGAATTAGGCGTCACAGGAAGCCTGTCAGTCTCTAAAGAAGGCCTATACGTCTTGTCGATTGCTACGGTGAGTTTCACCTTGGTCGACATTATGATATTTTCAAACAAACGTCGTTCAGGAAGAATTTATTAAGCGGCTCGTACAAGGCGGCCATAGACAGGCCAACTCAGGAAGAAGAAATGCGGTTAATTATCGCGACATGGGTAAGATTCGCTGCGGTTTTCCACTCAGCACACCTAATGTCCGTCTCCAAAAGCCGACACCACGCGACAATACCAAGAGTTTATGTTTCTAAAAGGTACATATCCATTCTTGTTCTTTATTTACGGCAATTTGACGCGCCCTAGATATCATACCATACCCTGTCTCCCTATCTGAAGCTCTTGAAATGCGAGAAGCGGTACTAAAAGATTCTTTCGGTGACGCGACTCCAATGCCATTCCCGAGGTCCGCTTCAGCACCTAATCCAACGAAGGCATCTTCTTCCAAACCGAAATCTAAACATTCTGCTGCCGTCAATGGAAAAGAAAAAATCAATGGTAGCGCGAGTGGAAGGACTGAATCCGATGCAAGCGTAAGCATGGGTAATGGTAATAGTCGCGGCGGTCAAGTGTTGAGCTGGGAAGGTCCAATATCTGCATCCAACGTTCTCGATGCTCGCCCTTGGACGCATTGGACTGAACCTATAACGCAGGAAGCAGTCCGCCTGAACCCAGATTATGATATGGGCAATCGACACGATCCAAATTCTGCCTCACCACATAGTACTAGTAGTATCTCCCCACAGCTCTCCGCATCTGTTGCGCCTCCTTTGGAAACATCGTTTCGTAGAGCGTATACTGGCCCGGTGAGCAGTCATCTGCAAGGACCCGCACATAACCCAGGACATACGATATATGATCAAGAGTCTCCGGATTAACTTTACTCGCTTCGTTACTCATGAATGTATTCTTACATGTACTTGATTTAAACCCAAATGCTGTGGGTTCAACTTGGAGCAGATATCAAGCCGACTTGAGATTCGATAAGATAAAGCCCTTATCTCGCTTTTCTCGAATCTCTGCCATGGTCTCAGAGACGTCGGCAAACGGTCATAATGCTCAACTCTCACTACCAATTATCAGCATCACACCCTACCTCCTTCAGCCATCTCCCGAAGTCGAAACACAAAGGGCCAACGTCTCAGCTGCCATCCACGCTGCATGTCGAGACTTTGGCTTCTTCTATCTTGATATCTCTGCCATTTCAGAACCCAAGGAAACTGAAGAATTGACTGAATTCGCTCGAAGATTCTTTCACTCTCCGCAGGAAGAGAAAGATGAACTTTCGTTGAGCAATCAGGATCATGCCCGAGGTGTGTTTTCCGAAGAGATATCTTGAAGTTTATAAGTTTGAGCGGACATTGATACAAAGTGTATGACCTCAGGTTATGCCAGGCTCAAAGAGAATGTCACTAACGGCAAGGCCGATAATCACGAAGGGATCGACTTTTATCGTCCGGTAGACAATCCTGATAAGACTAAACCACTATGGGGAGAGAATCAATGGCCGACGGTGCCTCAGTTCAGGGAAAAGTATGAAGCTTGGGTTGAAAAGATGAAAATGTTGGGCTTGGTAGTCATGGAGGCGTTCGTCTTCTCAGATCCTTCATCCATCGTACGATTTAAAACATCTTGCTCTTTCTCAGGATGGCAGTGGGACTAGGAATGACTGCAGACGAGTGGAAGGAGCTCCGGAGTAGTGTCGATGATAGTTTCTGGGTCATGAGAGCGATAGGTTTTGAGTGCTTGGTTTTACTCCGCTCACGAATTGTTATTGACTATCGCCCAACGACAGGATATCCACCACTTCCGAATGATCATGACGGATTTTCGTGTGGCGCTCACAAGTGGGCTTGTTTCAATGACATGCTCCAACATATTCCAGCTGACCATTCGCAATTTCGCATAATACAGAGATTATGGGTGTTTAACGTACGCGGGGCAATTTCACACTTGATTTACACATCTGAAGCAAGCACAGATTCTTGCATGCTGATCCCACTCTCGGCGCCTTACAGGTTTTCCTAAGACGCTCTGGAGCGGGTCCTGATCTTTCTGGGTTGCCTGCGGAGCAGGGAGACGAAGAAGGTGTATGGATTACAGCTGATCCTATCCTGGGCTGTGTGGTTTGTAACATCGGAGAAAGTGAGCCTCTTGGATGCATTCATATTCTTTATCACCAACTAACGTCTGTATAGTGTGTAAGTATCCTCAAAGAATTACCTAGTGACCTACATCTTCATCGGAAATTCACTCTCCAGGGGAGATCTGGTCTAATGGATTATACAAATCCACCCTCCATCGTGTCGTTCACAGAGGTAGCAATTACCGGTAAGAAGAATCTTCATGTTTTAATTGAAGCGTTTATACTTACATAATGGTAACTGGAATTCCTCCTACGTTCAGCGTTTCGTGAGTCGGAAATGTTCTGTCGCATTATAGTCAATGTATTGAAATTCGACACAAGGGTCCCATTCTTCTTCGAACCCAATTTGGACGCGCTGGTCAAACCTTTGGATGCTGCCCTACGAGTACAAAAGAAGGAAAAGACAGCACTTCCGAATGAAGGGAAGGCGGAGAAAGCCAAAGAGTACAAGCCAACAGTCTACGGGGAGTTCTTAATGGCGAAAGTTGGCAACAATTTCGCTAATGGAAAGGGAAAGTACGCCGACGATTGATTACAAAAAAGCATAAATACAATGATATTTTACTGAGAATAATTAACATCATACATTGTGAAATGCGCACATGAAGTCGCTGTATACGCCAAGGCGACCCGAAGCAAAAGGTAATTCCGACACGGGGAATCGAACCCCGGGCTATCGCGAAGAGGAACTTTATGAGAGGCGATAATGTTAACCACTACACCATATCGGACATAACATTAAGATAGAGCTAAATGTGTATCTTTATATCAACAGCATTCGTAAGGAGATCTTTAGAAAATTGCTATGTAACTATGTAATTATTCCTTTACCATCGCCAACAACGCTGATCTGTCGTTGGCGTTTTCTACCATAGTGCGAAAATGGCCATCCTTCTTCTTCAACAACGCTTGAGGCGAGTCAAACTCAATCTAAGAGCAACGTAGATGATTATAAACGGTAGATGGAATAACGTATTTGACATACAATGCGACCTGCGTCTAACACCATCTGTGATGTAAGAGGTATGTGACTAGAATGCTTGATAAGGAGAATTCAAGGCTCACAATCCGGTCTGCTTCCATGACACTCTGTAGGCGGTGGGCTATCGTGATTATTGTAGCATCACCTCGCTCTTGATATTCTTTTCGAAGAGAGTCTTGAATGATTGTATCCGTTTTGTAATCTGACCCGCAGCATTTTGTGCGTTAGATACTGCAATTTTAGGAGTGAATGTACACACCAATAGCAGATGTTGCTGTAGAGAAAACACACGTGAGGTTTAAAGTGCAAAACAACTTCAAGATACGTATTACCTTCGTCGAGAATGAGCAACTTGCTTTGTCTTACGATTGCCCTCGCCAGCGCAATAATTTGACGTTGGCCAACAGAAAGATTTGCTCCTCCACTGGCGACAACGGTATCCAGTGTGATTCTATTTTGAATTTCTAGCTCTTCCTGAAGTGAAACTAAACCAGCCGCTCTCAATGCATTGTTCAGTGTATGATCTTCATGTTCCTCAAAGGGATCCAGATTTTGCCTGAGAGTTCCAGAGATAAGTTCAGGCTGTACATGGCCACAATCAAAGTCAATAGAGGCCAATGAGCACCATTTTAAAGACACGGACTGTTTGTGGAATAATAGTGATCTGGGATCGCAGTGCATCCAGATTGAGTGTAGACGTCAAAATTCCGTCATAAAAGACACTTCCGGTAGTGAGAATGCATCTTAGCAGAGCTAGAGTTAGGGTACTCTGTCATCAGAATGAGTATTATCCTTTCCAACAAGAAACGGGCGCTGACTGACCTTGCCGGATCCAGTGCGACCAACTGTTTACAGTCAATCAGAGGATTTCGTGTGTTTAAAATTTGATCATCTCTTACCAACACCGATACGCTCCCCCGATTTGATATGGAACGAAAGCCCATGTAAGACTTCAGGTCCATCTGAAGAATACTTTGCATTGAGACTCTCTACTCGCAACTCGCCACTGGATGGCCAATGAGCGGGAGGTATACTTCCGACACCTAGATGTGCCTCTTGATCGATTCGAAGATAACTTTCAAGGCGTTCGAGACTGGATTAAGGTAAATCAGGTATGTACAGCATCTGTGAGGCCGTAGACCTACCTATTGCCTTCGAGAAATATCAGCCATGATGTTTACTCGGGAAGATTCTCAAACTCACTTTCAGCTTCCAAGTCATTTACTGCTATCACCCACCACACCATTCCACCGCTGAACGCGACTAATAAAAGCATGGATGAGTTTCAAATATGTAAACTTCAAGAGCGGCAGCAAGCCTTTCTTTACCTGCTAGGTTTAATAAGAAGCCAGTATCGGAGGCATTGGAGTTTGTGAAGTACACAAGGTACCATGCCAAAGCAGCACTGAATATTCCAGCAAGCGTTTCCGTTCGCATGGCCATCCAACGTTGGAGATTATAGAAAACTCTGGCTGAGCGAGAATAATGATCGATACGTGTCATCAAAAGGTCAGTAAATTTATCTTGAGCAGAATAAGCTCTGACTGAGACTAAAATGGAGTCAGTAGCCAATGCCGTTCTATTTGACCTGTGACGCTCACCAATTCCTGTTGACGCAGCTCCGATCCTAGACAAAGGAAGATGAAGCTCTGTTGAACGCAAAGAACCAAGGGAGACTTACAGTCCTATGACCGGCGCCTTGGCAATTGACATCTCTCGCTTGACGGATGATTGAGCCTTCAAATAGACATTGCCAACCCACGTCCCGATAGCAGTGAGAACAATGCTTGGAAGAAGAAAAGTAGGAGTGAAAATGACGATTGCTCCTATCTTGAATAATAGGCTGATCGATAGATCACACACTCGACTTGTTATCATAGGTAGGGCGAAGTCAACTGGAAAACATCAATTTCTACACAAGTTCAACCGGGTAGATTTAGCGAGGCTAGCGTACCAGAGCCAATATCTTGTGTAGATCTGGTGATTATCCGGGATACGGGGGTCTTGTCAAGCCACCTAAAGGATGATAAATAAGCATTGTGTATATTGCAATATCCTTCGCCTACCTGAAAGTTGCCGCTAATACTGACTCCACAAGCTGATTGTGTATGTATTCAGATGCCTTGACCGAAGCCAGAATGAATTCAACATGGGCCGAAGAAAGGGTGATTAACCATATCAGAAAAATGATCCCTGTGGAGCGTCAGTAAAAATTGGGCTAATATTCATTGCATCTTACCGTAGACCCCAAGATAACTTCGGAATATATAAAACAAGTCAGTGAAATGTCGATGATTTAGCAATAGGATCATACTACAAAGCGGGCACTTCAGTAGGCGGATGACTATCGTACTGGGACGCCCAGTAGCCCAAATACCATGTTTGCGCAACTCCGATTAGATGAGAAGCTAGAAGGCACGCAAAGAATATAGTAAAAAAGACGAAAGGGTGTTTTCCTCCTAGGCTTGAGATGTACAAATTGACTGAATCCTGTGAGCAGCGACCTAGATTGATCGACAAAAAGTAATGCTCACTAGCTGCCCAGCCAACACCAGCACCTTGATGCACTTCCTCAGATACGATGAGCTTGCCACTGGTTGAATCTACGTCGACGTTTCTCTCTATTTCCGCGTCCAGGCCCGACCGTTCTTCGGATCGCTCCAGTAATTCTGATTCTTTACTGGTTCTAACATATGCTTCGACGTTGTCACTGATAGTGGCTATGCCATCTTTCATCTCGACAAGACATTGTACAAACGGTGACAAGAGGGCGACATTGTGAGACTGTATAGAGGAAGTTCAGCGCGTCGAAGTCGTCAAAGTACATGATAAGCACTCAACATACCACGATGATCACAGTCCTATCCTTGACCAGATCTCCGGCCAGACATTCATTGACTATCCACTTGGATGTATGAACACTATATGAATGCAATTGTTAGAGGTGCAATCTTCCTGTTTCCATAGTAGAGAATCGACATACTCCAGAGCAGCCAACACGTCATCCAGAAGGAGAATACTGGCTTTCGAATACACAGCTCTCGCAAGAGTCAAACGAGCTTTCTGCCCCCCGCTAAGCGTTAGACCTTTTTCTCCAATTTCCGTTCGGTCACCAGCAGCAAACAGAGCCAAGTCCGGCTCCAAAGCGCATTGCTTGATGACCTTTTTATATCGGTCTTCGTCGTATGGAGAGCCAAATAGTATATTGTCCTGTGGTCAATCCAGAGTGAGTAGGTTATCACGCGCGCATTGTGACTCACCCTAATAGTTTCGTTAAGCACCCAAGATTCCTGTGCAGCATATGCTATCCCGTCGCCCCGTGGAAGATTGAACCAGGAACCATCGCTCAGCGGAGTGTAATGCATTTCACCTATACCAATGTAAGTGATCAATGAGCTCCATTAGATGCACCAGAACAATCTCACCAAGTAGTGCTAACAAAAGAGACGTCTTTCCGGAACCGGTCAGCCCAACTACAAGATTCAAGGTGTTCGGCTTGAAATGCAAATCTCCTGGAACGGTGAGAACAAAATTCCTCCTCGAAGGTGTAGTCTTTCCACTCCGGGACCGAGACCAGATAAACGTTGCATCATGAAATCCAATCTTGTCCGAGAATTGGTTTGGGAATAAACTGATAGCACTACTGATTGGGTCAAATGCATCCAATAACTCCGTCTGATAATTTGATTCAGAGTTAGTTTCAGCATTCACTCATCAGTTAGCCTAGACTCACACTTTGCAGATAATCGTTAATCCTATCCAATGACACTTTTGCAGTAACACATCCAGTGCCACGTATAAAAGCAATCTGAATTTGATTTCTGAACGAGTCAAAGACTACAAGCGACGGGAACGCTATCGAAGCGCTAAATTCCCCTTTCGCGATGAGAGTCTGGAAATGCGGCGTAAGTCTCAATAATAATATGAGTGTCAAAGTACACACGCTGCGAAGTGAGTTGTTAGTCAAAAAATGATCCTTGTTCACGAGAAAACCGATGCTTACTAGCAGGCAAATGTTAACAACATGGTCAAAAATGGTAAAGCAAAACTTGATAGAGAAATCTCAGTGCCTCGCTCAGATTTTGAAAAGCCAAGGAACAAGGTTCAACCTTATAACGACAAGAAGAAGCTCAATCAGGTGAGCTTTCCGGCTAGCCCTCAGTTCGATGACACGCTTCTGAGCAATAGTTTCTGACATTTTTTCTTCCCAACCAAAGAGTTTTACCATCCGAAGCACATTGACCACTGTGAAACAAGGTAAGACACTCTCGAGATGGAGATTGGTACCAGCTATCACCATCTGTAAAGACCTGAACTCGAGAATCCGTTTTCTTCATCTTATCTTCTTGGACACTGTGAAGTGACTTTGTTGCAATTCCGGTAATCGGAACTAGGGCTACAGTGAGCCCGAGACCTACAAATGCGCTAAAGTCATTCAAAGTCAGCATTGCGAGGAATTTCGAGGAGTTCTGGAATTAGGTATGTCACCTCCATCCAAGCAGTTTATAGAGAAACACAATGCAGCATATGATCTGAACAGGAACAAAGGTGAGGAGCACAAGGAAATGTTGGCCTTCCTCCATGGTTTTCAGATCTACTGTTATGAGCGTGTTGATGCTTGCCGAGGTTGAAGCGTCACTTTTTTCAGCTAAGCACGTAAATCAAGCAATTAGCATTGTAATTTCATTGCGGTAGAATATATCAACCTTCGCTTTGGTTACCATCCTCATCATCGGATTTCACTTGAGC